TGACGGTTTCATTGGCCGTTTAAAGGCCATATTTCGTGCCAATGGACTATTATGTCTGGAGTAGTTCGGAAAGCAAGGTTGGCACTAAAAAGTACCAAAGTGTCGATCACCTCAAGCAAGCGCTTCGCCGGACTATTATGTCTGGAGTAGTTCGGAAAGCAAGGTTGGCACTAAAAAGTACCAAAGTGTCGATCACCTCAAGCAAGCGCTTCGCCGGAAATGGGCCAAAATACCGCAGAGCAACATTCGGGCAGAATGTGACGTTTGAAGGCCATAATTCGTGCCAAAGGTGACCAATTCGAACAAATCTAAACTTTTTCTAAAATTTGATGCTATTTCCGCCATTTTTTGCTTTTATTTAATAAAATTTAAAAATAAAAATTAGAATTGTCGCTTTTGACTTTGTTGCAGTTTTTTTTTATCTCACCTTGTATATTGTAAATTATTTTGAAAATGCCTCTCAGACATCATTCGATTTTCTCTTTTTCAATTTTTTTCTACAAACTGATCATAAAAAATATGCAAAATCATGATTCTGTAATTTATGGTTATTACTTTGCCAACAGAATTCCATTTAATGTTGGTGGTGGAAACCAAAATGTTTGTTGCAAATATTTTTACGATCATCATTACAATGATGATCTAAACTTTAAGAAATTTTTATGTTCCGATTGTAAAGAGAATATTGATGTACATTGAAATATGAGACAACAAAATTAATTGTTAGAAGAAATGATAAGAAAAATACTCCTCGAATGATTCTGCCATGTATCTTTGACCCAAATATTTCCAAGATAAGATTTTCAAATTTTGTTTCCGAAGAAAAAGTTAATAACCCATTAACTTTCTTGGGCCATAGTAAACCGTATGTGTACCTACCTCACAGATGTGTCACACATCTATTTTTATTGGAAATGCAACACCATCTGAATTCCCCCAGTACAATCTTATCGCTAAACGAATGACATGTTCGTCAAAATATTTTGAATTAAATGTTAAGTTTTTTCTTTTTTTCTTGGCATTTACTTAGTTGTGATCGCACTCCTACCTCCATATAAAAAACATAATTAATATTTAGTATTCAAACTGTGTTTTATTTTTGGCCAATTAGTATTAAGTCATTTGACCAAACAATTGAGGGACGTTGTTATTTAGATTTTAAATTTAATTTGACGTTGTTGGTGTAGTGTTTTTTTTTTTGTCCATAATAAGATAAACAAACAGCGAACTGGTTAAACGATGCATTCCAATTGTTTGACATCAAAACAAAATCAAATTCCGGGGGTATTTCCCCTTCCCTAGCCATGTTTGGGTAAAAAGGAATATTGGCTAATACGTAGTTGCTTGGTTTTTTTAGACACAAAATATATTGAATTAATATAAAAAATGCGGAAATTATTTCAATACATATTTTTGTCATCATTTTATTTAATTATTATTTTTAAATAAACAAATTGTCTTTAGGAATTACACCAATTATTCAGTAAGTAAAAAAATCGTAGATCTATAACAGCAAGAAACCATGGATTTTTTAAAAATATTTTTTAAATGCTAACAAAACCTAGATTTTTTTGAAATTTTTTTTCCAAATTTTTCCAAATAATTTTGTGTTTTAAGTCTAGCCAAAATATGGACTTAAAAATAATCAAAGTCTGGCCAAATCCTGGATTTAAAAAAATATTTTTTAACGTTTGACTAGAAAATATTTTTCAAAGTCTGACCAAATTTTGGATTTTTTTTTTTTTGAAGTTGGACCAACCTTGAATTCTTAATATTTTCAAAGTCTACCAAAATGTGGAGATCTCAAAAACTATTTTTTAATATTTTCAAAGTCTACCAAAACGTGTATTTCTCAAAAGCTATTTTTCAAAGTCTGACCAAAACGTGGACCTCTTTTTTTTAAATATTTTTCAATATTCACCAGACAACGTTGATCTTTTAAAAAGTATTTTTAAATATTTCCCAGACAACTTGAATTTTTTTTTAAATATATTTCATTATTCACCACAAAATATGGATTATATAAAAATATTTTTAAATAATCACCAGAAATTTTGGGTTTTTTAATTTTTTTTATTATATTCCCCAGACAACATGAAAACGTGAAGTTTTTAAAACAAATTTCGAAAGCTGACAAAAGGTAAATTTGTAAAAAAAAATTTAACAAAATTCACCAGAAAATGTTGATTTCAAAAACATTATTCAAAGTCTGAACAAAACGTGGATTCCTTAAAAAAATATTTTTCAAAGTCTGACAAAAACGTGGATCTAAAAAAATCAAAGTCTGGCAAATTCGAGGATTTTTAAAAAAATAATTGTCAATATTCACCAGACAACGTGGATTAAAAAAATATTATATATTTCAATAGTCATCAGAAAATGTGGAATTTTTAAATATTTTTCAATATCCACCAGAAAATGTGGATTTTTTTAAAATATTTTTTAATATTCACTAGACAACGTGGATTTTTAAACAAGTATTTTTTCAATATTCATCAGAAATGTGAATTTATTAAGAATATTTTAAAAGGCTGACCAAAATGTGGAGTTTTTAAAACATGTTTTTCAATATTCACCAGAAAATGTGAATTCTTATTAAATATTTTTTTAAGGTCTAACCAAATGGTGGATTCTTAATATTTGACTGACCAAATTTTTGTTTTAAATATTTTTCATGTGGATTATTTAAAAATATTTTTGCCAGGAAACGCGAATTTTTACCAAATTGTATTTTTTTAAATATTTTTCAATATTCACCAGAAAATGTTGATTTTTAAAAAAAATATTTTACAATATTCAATAAAAAATGTGGATTTTTTAGAATATTTTTCAATATTCACCAAAAAAAAAAAAAAATAATATGTTTCAATATTCACCAGGAAATATGCATTTATTTAAAAATAATTTTCAAAGTCTGACAAAAACGTGGATTATTTTTTAAAATATTTTTCAAAGGCTGACCAAAACGTGGATTTTTCAAAAAATGTTTTTCAATATTCACCAGAATATGTGCACTTTTTCCAAGTCTGAACAAAACGTGGTTTTTTAAAAAATGTTTTTCAATAATGTGGATTTTTTTCAAAAAAATATTTTTCAAAGTCTAGCCAAAAAGTGCATTTTTTAAAAAATATTTTTCAATATTTCCCAGACAACTTGGATTTTTTTAAAAATATATTTCAATACGTACACTACAATATGTATTATTTAAAACAAATTTAATATTTACCAGACAACGTGGATTTCTTAAAACATATTTTTTAATATTCACCAGAAAATGTTTTTTTTTTTAACTAATTTGAATGGCTGACCAAAACGTAAATTAAAAAAATGTCAACAATGTTCTCCAGAAAACGTGGAATTTTTTAAAAAGTTAAATCAAAGGCTGACCAAAACGTATTTAAAAAAAAGAAGTTTAAACAATATTCTCCAGAAAAGTGGAAATATTTAAAACAAATTTCATTAAATAAAATCAAAAATGTTCTCCAGAAAACGTGGATGTTTTTAAAAATTAATTTCAAAAGCTGACCAAAACGTAAATTTAGATTTTTTAACAATATTCACCACAAAATATGAATTATTTAGAAATATTCACCACAAAATATGAAGCCCTTAAAAATGTGGATTTTTTAAATAATTTTCAAAGTCTGGCCAAAACGATGATTATTTTTTAATTTTTTTTTTAATATTTTTCAACATTCGCTACATTAAATTAATAATTTAAAAATCCAAAAAACTTGTTTTTGTTTTTAATATTTTCAAAGAGAGGGAATGACTGAATGATGAATGAGGGAATGGATTTTTAAATATTTATTTTAAAAATGTGGTAAAGTCGGTGTTTTCAATAATTTTAAACTGCTGGTCAGGATATAAAATTGGGATGCTGACTTGGATTTTCTTATATGGGTATGAAGGGTGTTATTTTCAAATATTTTTACCATTATTATTATTAAAACATAAAAGACCAACCAGAGAATAAAATTTAATTTTTTATTATTTTTAAAATACTTCGCCTTTGATTTTTTACTATTTTTAAAAGTTGGCCAGAGATTAGAATTGTGTTTTTTTTTTCTATTTTTTTAAATGTATTTTTATTACTTTTTCATTTTATTTTAAAAGCTCGCACATTTGTTTTTTTAATACAAATGTTTAAGACTTTGTTTACCTTCCTATTATATTTTTAAATCTTTTAAAAATTACTTAAATATATTAAAAATTTAGTATCGGTATATTAATAATCCTTCAAGAATTGAAATTTTTATTTTTCCTTTTTCAGAATCTTCAATTGGAGTCTGTCCTTCAATAGCTTCCCCATTTTTGTTTCTCCAAAATATGATTCACATTTGTTTTACTTATTTCGAATTGTATTTGGATCCTCAAGAACAAGACATGAAGCATTTCAAAATGAATATTTGAATATTAGTCATGCGCAAAATGTGATGAGCGAGCGCCAAATTCTACACCAACAACAACATATTTTAAACTTTGAATATTTTCCAATATTCTTGAGGCGTTTTTTTTCTTCTCGATATTTACAATGTTAAGTAATGGAAAAAATCAAAAAAAATGTACAAATCTGTGAATTCAAATACACATTTTTTTTGGGTATATAGGTACCTACATACATATGAACATGTCTGTATATTTATAAAACCAAAAATGAGATCATCGCTTAAGGCAATCAAAAATTGTGGCCCAAAGACTGGATGAATACGGCCGTTACTTTGGTGGAAATGTTGAACGATCAGATTTGGCAGGGCATTGAAAATTCATTCGTTCATTTTTAAATTAAAAATGTTTTGTTTTTATTTATTTTCCTCATGTTTTTGAATTTTTTTTCTTATTTAAAGAAAATACAAATATATCATCAAAATCACACCCACGTTTATTTTTGAGTTTTGAATTTTTTTTAAATTGCAAAAAATATAAAATAATGTAAAAGTTATTTCTTTGTCTTCCCATTATTGGTTTTAAGTTATTATATTTTTATTTTTTTCTCTTACTTTTTATTTGAATTAAAAATAATTCCGTTCTAAAGTTACTCGAATTTAATTTTTTTTTTCGTTTATTTGACACAACAAATAACCGGCGTAGAATTTCAACAGTTATTGGCACGTCCAAACACGCGTATGTTCAATATCAGACTGACACAAGTCCCAAACGAACGAAATCGAAACTTTTCGTAGAATATTTTGTTATTTCTCAAGTAGAGAAGGAGACTATTAAAAAAAACATTCACACTCACATAACTCATTGGTTTTTGTTTGGGGTGTGTGTGTGTATGTTAGTTCACTTTACCACCTTCTTCTCCACAACACAAAATACTGATGGCGTCATAAGCAAAAGTGAAGAATTCACACAACAGCAACAACAAAGCCAATCGTCAACAAGTAGCCCCGCCAAACAATTCTTTAATACGCAAAAAAAAACGCAACAAATGTAAACAAACATTTCGGTAGAGATGTGTGGAGCCAGAGAGCGAAAAATTGAGAACAGCCATGAAGCAAAACCGGTATTGTTATGTACTCTCTCGTCATTGTGAGTAACCTTGTTGGTTTTTGTTTTGTTTTCTGGATGTACGCTCTCCCACTTGCTCTCATTCGTTTTACTTACAGAGGAAATAATGATGTCAACTGCATTGGTGTTTCTGAATAAATGCACACTCACACGCACCCACACCTATACACCGTTTCGTTTCATTGATAAGAAAAATAACCGTTTGGCGTCTAGAACACCAACACAAAATAATTTCATATAGAGTTTGGCTAATGAATCACTCTTTTTCTGTGGCAGCTTGCGGTTTTGTTTAAGGAGGTAGATTAATTAATTTTAGAATAATTCCATAATTATTTCAAGAGAGTTATAAGTCTTATGTTGCTTAAAAGTCCTTTTCAAAAGGCCTTCGTATAGACAGAAGACCTTTCAAGGGGTTTTTGTAAGGAGAGGTAGGCTTTTGATAACAGAATACTTTTCAGCAATAGTTTTCTATGAATAGGAGGACCTTTCAAGAGGTCTTCTATCTAAATATGCAATTTCAATGACTGAACATAGTTTAAAAATTGACAACCAAAAATCCTTCCAAAGGAAAATAATTTCAGGAATTATTCTGTCGCCGCATGACGTATGAGTAATGTGAAGCAATGCTTAACGTACGTTTATCATACGCACTGACTGACTTACGGATTTATCAACGCCCAGACTAAACGGCTGAAGCTAGAATCTTAATATTTTGGGTGAGGGTCATTCTTTTTCGGTAGATGTCAGAACGGTACGAAAAGTATAAAAAAGATACTAAATATGGTACCCTTTGTATTTTAGGAAGCAGTAGAGCTAGAACTCTTCAATTTGAAGTTAGGGTCAAAGATGGATTTTTGGAAATTCGTACTATAACTGTACGAAAAGTACTAAAATGTACTACATTTGGTACCATTTCGTATCATGTAAACGGTTAGAGCTAAAAACTTGGAATGGAAATGAAGGCTGAGGAGTAAATTTTATGTAGGGAGGAAAATTTTGAAGTATGTACTAAGGTATACGAAAAATACTGAAGTGTACTATATTTAGTACAACTTGAATTTGGAGGAATGGATGGAGCTGGAATCCTGAAATTTGAAATTAACATCACTGGCGGAGTGTAGGAATGGAATACGGAGGAAGTTTTCGAAATTTGTACTTATATGCGCGAAAGTTACTAAATGGTACTAAATTTGATACAATTTATATTTCGGGAAATCCAATAGAGTTGGAATTTTGAAATTTAGAAATAAGATTACTATTGCATTCTAGGTCTGAAAAATGTAGGCAATTTTGGAGTTTCGTACTTATGGTACTAAATTTAGTACAATTTCAATTTTGGGAGAACCAATAGAGTTGGGATCCAGAAATTTGGAATTTAGATTACTTTTGCATTGTAGGACTGAGGAATGTCGGTTGTTTTTGAAATTCGTACTTGTGTGTAATTAGTGGTACTAAATTTGGTACAACTTAAATTTTGGGAGAACCGATAGAGTTGGAATCCTGAACATAAGATTTCTATTGGACTGTTTGATGTAGGTAGTTATGAAAATTTGTACTTAAGTGTTCTTAATGGTACTAAATTTGGTAAAATTTAAATTTTAGGTGAACCCCTGGAGTTGGAATCCTCAAAAATTGGAAAAAAGATTACTGTCGGAGTGTAGGATTGGGATATGTAAATAGTTTTGGGAATTTTTACTTATACATAATTATTCCTCAAAATAACTCTGTTAGATCTAACTTCCTTAATTTTCTTAACAACCCTCGTATGTTTACTTTGATGGAAATGCATTAAATAGTTTGTGGACAAAAACAAAATCGAATACTTTAAGGTGTGTGTGAAATGTGGATACAACGGCAACGAACTGTTGTGGCAACTATTCTCTTCCCTCAAATTGAGAGTTATGGCATCCGAAATACAGGGTGTGTTAATAATTTAATGTCATACCATCAATTTTGGGTGACAAACAAAGCGTAATTTATACTTTCAAATGGTTGGAAGCTTATTTCGCTTTCATTGAGCGTTTTGTTTTTCAAAAACCCTTGAACCCTATTTGGGGGAGGTACCAGAAGAAATGGTCCGCAGGTATCATTTTTATAACAGATCTTGTGTTGCTGGAAATATTGAGATGTACAAAATCTGAAAGGAATTGGATGTTAATTTCGTGTTTTATGACCTTCATGGGTATCCAAAATTTTGACCCTTTGTGGGGAAGGTACAGAAGAAGTGGACCGATATATTCCATCTTTACACCAGACTTTGGGTTAGTAAAAATATTGTGCTGTGTATAATTTGAAGACATCCGGATACTTATTTCGGATTTTATGATCGTTTTGGTTTTTTGAAACTTTGACCCTTTGTGTGGGAGGTACCAGAAGAAATGGTCCGATCATTACCATATCTATAACAGATCTTGTGTTTATGGAAATATTGAGATGTGCGAAATTTTAAGAGAAGCTAATGCTTATTTCAAATTTTATGATCGTTTTGGTTATTCGAAACTTTGACCCTTTGTGTGGGAGGTACCAGAAGAAATGGTCCGATCTCTACCATCTTTATAACAGATCTTGTGTTGACGGAATTATTGAGATGAACCAAGTTTGAAGGGAATCGGATGTTAATTTCTTGCTTTATGAGCTTCATGAATATTAAAAATGTTGACCCATTGTGGGGGAGGTACCAGAAGGAGTGCGCCGATATATTCCACCTTCACACCAGACCTTGGGCTAATAAAAATATTGTGATGTGTGTAATTTGAAGACAATCGGACTCTTACATCACACATTTTATAAGAGTTGTAATTATTCAAAATGTGACCCTTTACTGGGGAGGTATTTGATAGAGTGTACCGATATTGTCCATTTTCGCACCTGACCTAGCCCTGACGCAAATATTTGGATTTGCAAAGTTTGAGCAAAATCGGATTAACGTTTATTTTTCTGTGCAGAAAATATTTTTTTTTTTTAAATTTCGACTTTTTATGGGCGTGGTACCAGAAGGAGTGGACCGATATATTTCATCTTAACACTAGACCTGGGGTTAATAAAATTAATTACGGACGCGTTTTGGACCACACACCAATCCGTACTAGACACCCTTTCTCAACTTAAAACCGCTAGTTTTATTTGTAGAGAAAAAGCCTGCTAGGTGTGCCCTGCGACTCAATACTCAGTTCATTGGATACTCCGTTATTTTCAAGTATGTGGAGAAGCCACCTTTATGCTACTTCTTCCAAGTTCTATCTTGGGAGATTTCAACAGAACTGGCTAACTGGAAGGTGATCTAATGTCTCCAAAAATAGTTGGCCGATGATCTCCGAAAGGAAATCAAAGGCCATGACATCCAAAGGTGGGGGAGGAGACGATACGGAAGGCTTTATCAGTACGATGAGGAAACTGAGACGATGGAGCACTTACTCTGCCACTGCCCAGCTCTTATAGGAGTGAGACAGAGGCTGCTGGGTAAGCAAATTCTTCCAGACTTGTCCTCCCTCGAGCCAGCGGTGATTCTTCAGTTAGCCAGAAGACTAAAATGGCTAAGGACGACACGCTCATTACACTGTGGATGCAAACCTACTAACTTCCCTACTCTTTATTCAGATTCTCGCATCTTCACTATCCGTTATTCGTTTCCTTTTCTTTTCTTTATTCTATTCTGCTATCTTCTTTAAATTAGGATGAACACAATGGACCAATAGGTCTCCGAGTGAAGTCTAACCTAACCTAACATCGTTTTAAGAATATAAACAAATTTCAATCCTTGATGATAGTCGCCGATTTTGATCGAAAAATTAAAAATAAAATTATGAAACAAAATTAATTGTTTTTGTGACCTCAAACCAAATTAAATAAAAAAGAAAAGTAAAAAAAAAACAAGATTTGGGTCAACATTTTCTGCGGTCAAGATACCGCCCCATATTTAAAAATGCCCTAAATGAAATCATTTTATTAAAATGCCATCAGAGCGCATTCTAAAAAAAAGTATTTCAAAAACCAACCAATTATGTTATAAAATTCGAGCCATATCAACAACATAATTATAAATAAATTAAAAATATCCAAGAAAAAATAATTTTCTTATCTCATTCTTTTTAATTCACCACAAAACCGCATCCCTGAATACTCGACGACATCATTGCGAAACCACATTACCGTGTTAGTCATTGCATTTTCAATTGTAAAGTAATCCAATTCACGTCCATAGCTTAATATTCCTTACCAAGAAGAAGAAAATAGGTGATGGCATTGAGAACGCCATGGCTGATTGAGTCATGGCGCCATTTGTTTTATATGTCATTGTATCCATCAAGTCTCTCAAAAGACCTCCTCTCATATTTTCTCTATTTGTATTTGAGGGTGTGTGTGTGTGTGTGTTTGGCCGTTAATGCACTTGCAAGACGCCCAATGGTCTCGCCACCAACGGAACAAGGGAAACTGAAAACAATTCCTGTCCCAAAAAAAGGCAAAAGTTTATTCAACTTTGTTGTCATGAATATTTTGTTTGGGTTATTGTTTTGTTTCTTTTTTCCTGATTGGAGGTTAGACATGATGGAATGTGGAGAGAAAGTGATTTTTTCTTTATTTTTCGTTTTCAGATAACAAAAATCTTTTTAAACAATTTATGGAGATATTTGTGATATAT